GATGATTATTATGGGCTGTCTGCAAGTATCACTTTTCATCACTGGGTTAATAAACCTTCTGGTTCTGAACAAGGATCTGAGTGGTGCATCATAGACTCCGATTCAGTCACAAGACTGAGATTAAAGTTACAGCTTGAAATTAAACACTTAGAATGAGTAAACAATAACAATATATAAAAAATCTAGTGCCTTCCATAGAACTTACAAAAAATAACCAAAGGGAAAAAATTAGAAGCAAAACTTGAATGATTAATAAGTATATAGTTACCTTAATTTGAGGAGGTATATATTAAGGATGTTAACCATAGCACTGTTTGTTGTAGCAAAGAAATGGAATAACTTAGCTACTGAATGCTAATAAAATGGATAAGTGGCACACACATTATAACAGAATGATATACATTTTAAAAAAGAAACAAATCAACTAGCACATAAAAGAAAAAATATTGAAAATATATGTTGACTGTAAAAAGAAACAAAATAATATTTGTAACATTGATACCATCTTATAAATTCAACAGAACATATGAAATGACTAATTTTGTTTTTTAGAATAGTCATATATAAAGTAACATATGCAAAGTGTTTTGAAAGGTCACGATGGATTAACTGGTATTAGATTTACCTTATTATCCTAAAAGACCTATAATATTGATTAACATATATAAAGTAACTCTCTGCAGTCATTGGACAGAACCAAAGCACCTGAAGTGACTCCCATATTCTCCCTTGCTTTCTGTCTGAAGGTATTTCTGAATCCACAGCAAAGGGAAACAGGGTACAGAGAGTGGGCAGAGGAAACACAAATTTGAACATAGGGCTGCTGAAGTGGCTGGGATTGCAGGGGGCAGGATATTGAAGAGGAGGCAATCACTGGAGAAAAAATCCCCTAAAATCCACATAATTATTCCCTCAGGTTCTGGGTCAGCTTCTAACCTATCCATGTACTGGATGAGACTCGAGAGAGAGCTAGTATTTATTGCTTTCTACAGGTTTTTTTATATTAATAATTAATTTTTAGTTTTATTTTACTGTGATTAGAGAACAATGGTCTTTATTAGAGTACAAATAGTCTTTGTTGCTTCCCCAAGAGGGAAAGTACAAGCCCAATTACAGTCTTTCAAGGTAGCTGCCAAATGCAAGAACCAAAATTACTTAAGGCAAGAGGGTTAGTGAAACAAAGGTGCTGCTGCTGTGACTAGTCCCAGTGGCATACCTGATATTCATCACCTTTCTCCTTCACCACTCATTTTACATTTGCTTCCCTCTTGGTCATCTCTTTGTGTAGTCTGAGTGGCTTATTTGGCAGGGAGACTCAGAGCTTTACTCCTTAGGGGTAAGCCCTTAGTTTCAATTTTTTTGTTTGTGTAGGTGGCAGTCATCTTACAATATAGACCCCCAATGATCCACATTTCTGAGTGTTTTAAGCTCTAGTGTAGTACGCTAAATTACATGCACTAAGTTACAATTGTCCCTCTGTGACTGACAGAACATGGCAGAAGCAATAGTGCATGACTTCCAAAGCTAGGTCATAAAAGGCATTGCAGTTTCTGCCTTGGTCTTTTGGGACGCTCACTATTGGAGCTCTGAGCTACCATATAAGACATGCAACTGCCTTGAGGGTAATATTCTAGACAGACCACATTCAGAGGGTTTGAATCACATGAGTCTCTGTAAATATATAGAAAGATGCCTGGGAGTTTCTTAGCCATTCCAGTCTCTATGTATTGAAATCATCCCAGCTGAGGCCCCAGAAAAATCATATATATATATGGCAGAGGTTAAGATGTCCCTGATGAGCTCTGCACAAATTTTAAATTCCTAAACAAAATAATATAATGTTTTTAAGACAGTAAATTTTACACATAGATACCAAAACACCATTTCTAACCATGGTTGCCACAGTTATCCATTTACAGTTATCATGGGCATAAAAGCTCATTATTCAGCAGGTTGTAGACCACATCCTCTGTACCTTCATTGTGTAGCAGCTGTAGCCTATCTTTGTATTTAGGGTTGATTACCATCACCAATGTTTCAACTCTTTTTTTGCTTACTGCTCCACCAGCAGGAGGATCAGTCCTGTTTGGTTTAGCATCAGCATATCACACCAATCCATCTTTGCATTAGCATAAATTATTTTCTTCTATGTTAGTTGATTGTTGGGAATAACCCAAGGCCAAAGATGTAAGTTGAGACAGAAGTATCAGGTTAGTAGAGGTAAGTGACATCGAAGTCTGGCCATCTGTATGTGTAATTTACTAGTATTTTCAGGATATGCTCAGTCTAAAGTCCAAATGTTTTTCTGCATGTGCCCAACATTATGAAATGATGGCTCTGATAATATCCAGCCCAGGAAGGGAATTCCAGTGGTACAGACACTTAGCATCCCATGATCAGGCTACCAGTTTCTAGTAGCATCCAATATCATGGCAGGAATGTCTATCAAAACTGAGACCAGTTCTGTGATAGAGAAAACATGATCTTCCTCCAAATCCTAGAAACTTATGAGACTTTGCACAGCAGATATTTCCTTTATAGATATTTCTAACTCTGTCAAATATGCTGAGTCACAAGATCCCAGTGGCTAGGCATCTTAGGCTTCATCTTCTGCAGAATTCTCTCTTCCTCAGGGCCTCAGTGAAAATGAGCTGCTTCCAAGTCATCAATACATGGGTTAGAGCAGTATTAAGTTCAATGTATGCTACCTCCAAAATCAGAAGAGACCTATCAAACACTATGTCTCTGTCAGGGGTTTCAGGTGCCAAGTGCAAAAATGTTAGCCTTAGAAGCAATGCTGTGGCATGGCACAGACCACTGGACCTCTAACACTGTGGCAATCCCATGAATCCCATCATGAAGCTCATCTCCCATCTTCTGACCCATGTGTCTTACTAGGGTGCGTAGTGCACTTTCTACTTCCTACTCACAAGTCAGGTTATCATGATGTCATCATTGTCTAGTGTTAGGTTCTTTAATTGTCAAGATGATCAAAATATCCGAATTCTCAACTGTGACAGAAAGGACAGTTAGCATATCCTTGAGCTAGAGAGTAAATGTGAACTTCTGTTCTTACCATATAAATAAAAACTAAATGATCCTTCTTAGTGGAGAGAAATGGAAAAATATCTATCTTTAAGATCAGTAGTCCTATAACAAGTGCCAAAGCTTGTGTTACTCTACTGTCACTTAACCAAGTGGTAGCCTAATAGTTTCTGTGGCAGATGGTATAAATGCAGCAGCTGTGATTGGACTGCCACTTGGATAAATTTATAGTAATATGTAAATCTGCCAAGATTCATTTCACTTTTGCATATAAGGGAATGCATATAAGGGAATTGCTTGGAAATGTGTAAACCATCACCCCTCCATCCTCTAACTGTTTGATAGTGGTATTAATCTCAGCAGTTCTTCCCATAATATAGCATTACTTCTGATTTAAAATTTTCCTCAGGGTAGGAGTGTGGTTTTCAGGGCTTCCACTTGGCTCTTGATACCCTAGTGGCTCTTATTCCATAGGCCATATATACAGGTTCTGACAGCTGCTAAGTATTTCTCTCTCAATAATTGCAACATATGAGGACCAAAGAAGTAACCACAGGTTAGGTCCAAAGATACTTCGGTATACTGTGAAACAGACTTGAGCCGAACTCCATAAGCTCCCATTTAACCATAGAGTCATGGTGATGTTCCAGATTCCATGGCATCAGTGTCAGCTCAGACCTTCTAACAGTCTTAGAAATGTCTGAATTTTCCAATTTCTCAGTGTTGAGCTACCCTGGAAATGGTTCAAGTTTCCTTTGGAAAGTAATTGAGGGAAAATTTACTGTATAAATTTCATGTAGCATTGCAGGCCTCTTTCTCAAAAGAACCATATGCTTCAATCAATGAGTTCTGAATTTGAGAACTAAGATCTGGAAATTGGGTGAGGAGCCACAATTTCCTATTTTAGCAGTTGGTCTGGGCCTTTTGTCTATCATTTTTTTTTTTCCATTTCTCTCTCTTCGGCATAGGCATTTGCCCATCTATCTCATGTCTAAGAACGCTATGACCTATTAGCTATTACCACAAATCCCTGAAGGTCAAGGCACCTTGACCGCAAGCTGGTAATTATATCCACCTTGCCTCTAATTATTAAGTGCTATGCCCTAGCCTCATCTACATCAATATTAAAGAGCCCAGTTTGAAGGCAACAATTGACACTATAAACCACAGCTTACAAAGTGCTGCCATCACCAACCAAGCTTCTTGAGAGATGTTGGTGCCCACTCAGCAGTGCACTCCTTATGGAGTGTCTTCTGGGCCCACCCAGGGATCTTAATTTATGCACCAAAGGAACTGATACACTGAATAGTGAGTGCTGGCAGAAACCAGGGAAGCAAATGTGAGTCGAGCTTCACTTATTCTACAAGGTGTGGGACATGAGGCTGGGTACAGGAAGATTTATTGAATGGAAGCACTCGTACAAGTCTCAGAGCTCGATGATCTGGCAGTGACACTGATGTATACCATAGGTGATGGATGCTCAGGTTTTATATAGTAAACGTATTCCCATCTCCCTGAATCATCTGGAGATTTCCACACCACCATATAAGGAAGTTCCAGACTCTTCATATTTGCTGTATTCAAGCTTTAAGGAGCTGGTGTAGCAAAATGTTTTAGGATGTATTATATATTTATTATATATATGATATATTATCTATTTAGGATATATTCAATGGGATATATTAAGATCTATTTCCAAAGGAAGTGGAACTTGGATGGAGAGATTTAAAGAATGGGTTGGAGATCACTACCACCGAGTAACCCAGGAAATAGTCATCCTGTAGGCACCTTGAATATATGTGCACACACGCACATGCACATACACACACACAGTCATATTCACACTGGGACATTAACAGGATTCACCGGCATTATTCGGAAATTTAAATGTTCCAATGTATTTACTAGTTAGGTAACTAAAAGACTGTGAAAGACCAATTCAAATTCACAATGAATTAAAGAACGATACTTCTTTTTGAGATTTTATTGTTAGGTATCATGAGTCTCTTGGATTAAGCCTTGAAAATGAACACTTTTACCAATTTTATGTATAGTGTATGAATTGTGATATAATTAGCTACATGAAGTAGAAGCCTATCTCCGTAGCTTAAGCTGATAACAGCATTTTGTTTTCCTCCCATAACAAGAAGCCTGAAGGCAGGCTAGGGCCCCTTCCATCATTTTGCTCCACCGTCCTCACAGTGAAGCTTTTATCTTCATGCTTCAAATCATGGAGGCAAGATGGTCTCCCTCTTCAGTTGTGCTATAGGCTAGGAAAACGGAAAGGGACAAGAAGAGTGTCTGTGTTAGAAAAACAAAAACATTCCCAGGAGTCTTTAGCAGATCCATACTTCTATCACATTACCTACACGTTTGTTACATGGTCACACTTGATTGAAACAGAGTCTGGCCTGGCCAGTGTGGCTCAGTGGCTGAGCATCGACCTAGGAACCAAGGGGTTTCGGGCTCGATCCTCAGTGGGGGGCTTGCAGGAGGCAGCGGATCAATGATGTTTCTTTCTCCTCGGTGTTTCTCTCTATCCCTCTCCCTTCTTCTCTAAAAAAATCAACAAAAACATATTTTTTAAAAAAAAGAAACAGAGTCTGGGAAGGTGAGTACTTTATCTGGGATCATGGCCAATGTGAAGAAAAAGGGCTTCTAGAAGTAAGGAGGTAGCGGAGAACAGTCCGTGGGTAGGAGATTAGGGGTGTGCAATGATGCACTGAATTACAACCAGTACTGTTAAGCAAATGTTCAGAGTAATGCTGAGTATCAATAACTATTCATTATAATATTCTTGAGGGTTTAAATATTTCATGAATAGTCATTAATAATGAAATAATATAAATAGATATTTTATGTACTTTATCCTGCATTATACTAGTAAGGATGAGATTATAGGCCATTAATGGCTTTTGTTTACCAGAATATTCATATATATCATTTAAATGGTATGACCAATAATAATCTTTTTGTCTTTATTGTTGAAAGTATTACAGATGGCCCTTTTTTCCTCATTGATTTCCTTCACCCTGCCCCCACCCCCTCCCCAATCCTTCCCCCCACTATTGTTTGTCTGAGTTAAGTCTAATCTCCTTTTGACAACATCTAAATTCTAAATCATAGGACCTAAATTTTGAGAATTTTCAATATTTGTTTCAAATAACATTCCTTAATACCCACATACTGATAGTGGAAGGCTATGTCCTAAATGAATTACTTAAGCTAAATGTGGAACACTTATTCAGGAAAATCTTTTGTGTGTTTTTTATATCTTTGATAGCATTGCTATCTAAAATTCAGTATTTGATAAATCAGGTTTTTAAGGTATTAAAATTGTTTCCTCTTAAAAAATTTTTCTGCACTTATAAAAATATTTCTTAATTGTATTCTATCTCCCACTAAAAGGTAAATTTTAGGTCCTTTGCATTCCTCAAAACCACTCTTTAATGTTGATAATCAAGATGGACAGATTTTTTAATGATATTTAGGTAGCAGAGGAGGAAAAGAGAGGGTAAAGATAGGATATCTGTTCTAATGTTCTGTACTCAGAGGTAAACATAATACCTTTCTGTGAATGCAAATCTAGTATTAATCCATATCTAAAGTAATATGATATTACAGATTTACATCTAATTTCAAATCCTCTGTGAACTCACTTAGAATTAATTCTGCCTCATCTTACACATCTTATTGAACACATATTTTTTTCAAATATAATTCTGGTCCTGTTGATTTGAGTTGATTTGTGTTTTATAAACAGTCACATGCAAGTATGAGAGGGGGTCAAATATATCACATAGCACATGGGGTTTGGGTAAAACATGATTTTATCAATTATAAAGAAACACATGTAGAATCTTGCATATAAGCACTTTACCCTTATTTGCTTATAGTTATAGCATTTACAAAGAATATATAAAAATAAAATTGAGAGAATAACCAAATAAGAATTTTTTAAAAAATCAAGAAAACTGTAGCATGTGTTCCATATTATACATGCACATAGATAAATGTATGTTTTTGATATATTATGCAGGAATGGATATATAAATATAGGGTAATATTATGAAGGAAACAAATTGGCAAAATGAAATCATTAAGTAACTTTCTTTTTTTCTCATAATGTTCCTTGAAGTATTCTCTACGGGGCGATTCTTCTCCTTCCCCTAGATAAAATCTTGGTTGGTCCCCCATAGCTCTCTTAAATAATAAATCCTCCTGGTACTTTTGTCACTTAAACTATTTCACTTCTGAAACTGATAGGTGTAGCTAAAGTAATAATAAAAACTTCAAGCTTCATTCAAAATTAAAGCTTCTGCACTCACCTAATCAGCTGTGCAACAGAAGGCAGGCCTGCAGTAGAAAGTACGGCTTGGAAAGATACTCCCCTATTTTCCCAACTTGTCTTCCTTCCCCTCCTTAACTGCTAGCCTGCACTGTTTCTGACCATACCAGGTTCAAGATGGTGCAGGGAGCAGAGGTGAGGGCCAGGAAAGCTCCGCATGCTGGCATCAGTGAGCTGCCGTCTTGCTTTCCGGCTTGGCTGTCGCTCCTTTTCCTTTCCAGGGGTTTCAGCTCCTTGGGGGATTCTGCAGAACCATTTACTCCTCTCCCCACTCATCTGCAGGCTTCTCTCACCTGCACCTGACTGGGCTTTGGGTCTCAGGAGTCCGTATCTTCACAGACTCTCTGTTGGGATCCTACTGCCTTTTAGGCAGCCCTTTTGGACAGAGTCACTCAAGATGACTCCAGGCTAGCTTTCAGCTATGTATGTGTGGTTCACACCTTCTCCATGTATCTTTGGTCTATTTCAGTTATAATTTAAGTTACTTTTTAATACAAAGATTTCCATGCTGTTGTCATAACTTATATTTTTCAATGTATACATATTTTTTTAATTAATGAAATTAAAATGATGTTTAAAGCATCACTGAATCACAGTTGATTTGAAATCATGAATACAGGATATTAAAAAAAGATGATGTGTAGTGAACACACTGATTGTGTAAACATTGCACATTGTTAAGAGAGGCCAACATCCTTCTCTTTCAGAAGAAAACACAAAGAATCAATTGAGCACAAAGAATGAATAATTCTATAAATGGTAGGTAGGAGAGAGAAGGGAGGACTTCCTAAAAGAGAGAATACTTGAGGTGAAGTTTAAGAGATAAGTCATAGTTTATCCTGCAAGAATGAATGAATGAGTGACTATCAAAGGAAAGAAACAGCATATCCAAAGTCATAGAGGCAAGGATTAGCATGGTGCATGGCAAGAAGTTGGGGGAGAATTAACTTTTAAGCAAGGTCTAATTTGTGAAAGGCCTTACAGACTAATCTATGGGGTAATATAATTTGAGTGTATAAATTAATGAAAGTGAAAATCGTATAGTCTCTGACACATCAAGTTCCTTACCACTTCAGGACCTAGATACTTCTCTTTCCTCTGCCTGAAAAGTCCTTCCCCCAGATTTTTATACAATTGAATATGGTTCCTCATTTAAGTCCTGGCTTAAAAATCACCTCCTAGGACAAGAACATACAATGGGATATAGACAGTCTGTTTAATAAATGGTGTTGGAAAAATTGGAAAGATACATGCAAATAAATGACACTGGACCACCTTCTTATACCACATACAAGAATAAACTCCTAGAAGAAAATGTAGGCAGTAAAATCTCTGACATTTCTCTTAGCAATATTTCTTTTTGATATATCTCCTCGGGCAAGGGAAACAAAAGAAAAATAAACACACAGGACTACATCAAACTAAAAAGTTTTTGCACAGCAAAGGAAACCATCAACAAAACAAAAAGACAACCTACTAAATGGGAAAAGATATCTGTCAGTGATAGATCTGATAAGGGGTTAATATCTCAAATTTATAAAGAATTCATTCTACTCAACACCAAAGAAAGAAACAACCCAATTAATATATGGGCAGAGAACCTGAATAGACACTTCTCCAAAGAAAAGATACAAATGGCGAATAGATGTGTAAAGATGCTCAACATCACTAATCATCAGATAAATGCAAATTAGGACCACAATGAGATATCACCTCACTCTTGTCAGAATGACTACAATCAACAAACAAAACAAGTGCTGGCTAGGATGTGGAGAAAAGGGAACCCTGGTACACTGTTGGTGGGAATGCAGACTGGTGCAGCAACTATGGAAAACAGTATGGAGGGTCCTCAAAAAACAAAATGGAACTGTCTTATGATCCAGTGATTCCACTTCTGGGTATATATGTGAAGAAACTCAAAACAGTAATTTGAGTGGATATGTGCACCCCTACATTCATTGCAGAATTATTTACAATAACGAAACTATGGAAGCAATCCAAGTGCCCATTAATAAATAAGTGAATGAAAAAGTTGTGGTACATATATACCATGGAATATTACTCTACCATAAAAGAGAATAAAATCTTACCATTTGCAACACCATGGATGGAACTAGAGGGTATTATCTTACGTGAAATCAGTCAGAGAGACAAACACCATATGATTTCACTTACATGTGAAGTCTAAAGAACAAAATAAATAAACAGAACTGAGGCAAACTCATAGAAAGAACAAACTGACGGTTGCTGGAGAGGGTGGGTGTTGGGGGTCTGGGTGAAGAAGCTGAGGGGATTAAGAAGCACATGTTGGTAGTTGCAGGATAGTGCCGAGGATGTAGAGCATAGAGAATATGGTCTATAATATTGTAATGACTATGTATGGTACCAGGTGGGTACAGGAAATATCAGGGGGACACTTTGTAAAGTATCTGATTGCCCACTCTGCTGTACACCTGAAAGTAATACGAAATAACGGTGAATGTAAACTGTAATTGAAAAATAAAATTTAAAGTTCTTTAAAAAAAGTCACCTCCTAGGAGAGGCCTTTCCATACCACTCAAATAAAAGTAGTACCCACTGTCCATCACCTACTTGTTAACATTCCATATCCACTGTTTTTAAATCAATAGGGAGACTAGAAGCAAAGAATACCAATTGTACAACTTTATGTAACAAACCCATATTCCCTTGATGTTTAATCTCTTTATTCTTATAAACTAGACTGAGAAAATCATGGAAATTGCTAAGCAACGTTTGGTGTAGTACACACTCTAGGGATTTGTTAGCTGGCAATCTTCCCTTTATCCTGTAATGAATGTATTTTGTTCACTAGTAGCCATATGAGCATAACTAAAGCAGAAACACCCTTTCAGAGACATTTGCATTCTATTATCTCAAAAGGACATGTCTCTAAGGAAAAATTATCAGGCAATATGACAAAACATAGTGAAGCATTTTGGAGAGAGCAGAAAAGATGTTTTTAGCTTTTTAAATCATACCTCATGTACAAATAGTCCTACCCTTGAGGAGGGACCTATATTTGTCTCCAAAGAAAAGGGCTATGAAGTAAATCTCCATTAGTACTGGGAAATTTTAAACTTCTTTTATTTAGCTTTCTGCTAAAATGGGA